TCTTTTTTTTTTTTTTTTTTTTTTTTTAAACACTGCCTATCTATTTATAGTAAAGCCAATATTGTGCTTACTCTTTTGATACAATGCAGGCTGTAAATAAACTAGGAAACCAATATAACTTTTCATTTTCACCTTGTTCATCTAACCATGCCAGTCCTTCTTTTACCATGTGGTCCAAGGCTTTCTGAGTTCTGTCTGGTTCCCACTTTAACTTCGTACACAGCATGGATTTTGAAACATATGCATTTCCAGATAAACTGGCCTGTTGTAATACAGCAGTATGATCCATACTCAGTTCACCTGGAATCGACTGTACCAAATGTTTTCCTCCCCCAATTGGAACAATGGAAAATCCATTTCCAAATATTCGTAATTTCTTAGCTGCAGCTAATAAGTCATCGTTCGTGATCTCTTGATGCTCTGGTCTACGACCTCTAGCTTGAATCAATCTAGTTCTGAGTTCATCCAATAATATCAATCCACCATTTTTATAATTTGTAGCCATACAAACTTCAACAATTTGAACAGCAAGTTCGTAATAAAAATCTCCTATGCCAAGAACTGACCAAAATCCTTTACCCGAGGCCAAGGGGTCCACACCTATCGATGCACACATTTCGGTAAATTGCCGCCGAAAACGAGCATTTCTTTTAATCTCATTCTTATACTTCGAGGCGAATTCTTCTAAATTTCCACGAAAAGTTTCCATTTGTTTCGTCATTTGCTCAAACTGATTTTCTTGTATCTCCGTTCCCTTATCCCTATATTTTTCCTGCTCCAGCTTTTGTTTTTGGATAGCACCAACGCCTGCTTTTCGTCTCATCGTGCAATATATTCTCTATGGTATTATGTATTACAAAAATACGATTAAAAAGTGCACCGATAAAAATTCTAAATACTTTTATCAAGCGTTCAAACGATCGAGGTAACTGTCATTTCATCGAATATTGGTTTTCTTTTCAGAAACATAACCTAGTATCGATACAGTGATAAAATACTATTTCGTTTCTTTTTTTCAAATATACATTTTCATCTTTAAACACGTTTCCAATACAAAATCAAGGGATTAACGTTTATAAAATGTAATAATTTATGACGCGCACAAAATATTTAACAACGAAAAAAATTTGTATTTTACGTGTCGCTTTTGCGTCGTACTTCGAATTTCTTTCACGAGGTGTCAGTTGGCTTCAGGCATCAAAATTTAAATATGGCGACGGCAATGGAAATTGACGATGAAGAAAGTGATTTACCAACTTCGAGTAGTAGCAAAGGAGAGAGAAAGCGTTTTGAAGTCAAAAAGGTGAGACTAATAATTAGAAGAGATATTTTAAAAATGATGTGTAAATATTATTAATTTTAAGGAATTGATCAGTGAACTCTAACCCCATTTATGCATTGTCATTTTTATTATATTCACGTGGTTTACGCTCAACGTTTAACTAAAAGTACAAAATTTTACGTTACAGTGGAATGCTGTGGCCCTTTGGGCATGGGGTACGTACTCGAAAATTCCATTATATGTATAGTTTTCCTAAACAATAATACACAGTTGTAACGGTTGTTTTCTCACGAGATGTATACGTAATTACGGTATTTCTTATTTTACAGACATCGTAGTGGATAATTGTGCGATCTGTCGTAATCATATAATGGATTTGTGCATCGAATGTCAAGCAAATCAGGCATCAGCTACTAGCGAAGAATGTACTGTAGCTTGGGGTGTATGCAATGTATGAATCTTATCGTTACAGCCTTTCGCTTCGATACACATTTAGTATCAATTGCAGAAGTGAAACATTTTAACTTTTTTATTTTAATTTTTTGACACTTTTTTTTTTGCATAGCATGCATTCCATTTCCATTGCATCTCACGTTGGTTGAAGACTCGACAAGTTTGTCCACTTGACAATCGAGAGTGGGAGTTCCAGAAGTAAGTACAATTTACAACATACAACGATACACTACCGGCTTCTTCAAGCTTTTGAAAATTGTTTGTGTGTTTGTAGAGGAAGCACAAAAGATTTTCATATACGCAGTATAATTTTATCCTCTGATATATATATATATATATATATAGACATGTACATATGTATATATATAAATGTCAATATTAAAATAAAATTTTCTTCCACGTTTGTTACAGATATGGTCACTAGCTGAGTGTGTTCAACTACCGCAAACATCTGAACCCTCCAGAATGCCAAAGCCGATACAAGTTTAATTACACGTGTGAATAAAAGACAAGTAAACGATCTGTTGTTATATTATCATCGGAAAAGTCGGTGGCATACGTACGAGCGTCACAGAAGGCTTTCAGACAAGAGAAATAAACTAAAAATTCGCTTGATACACATTGTGATTAAGACGCTATTGCACCAGCATTATCAAGCTCATAGTGCAACACGTATTGAGTTGGAACAGCAGATATTAAAACTATGAGCTATCGAAAGTTTCTTATCCTATCGGTTATGCATTATAAGACAATGTAATTCTTAGTATTAAGAACTGAAATAAAGAAATATCACGAACGAAGTAACAACATTTCCCCGAATTCGTATATCTCTTTATACGTTCTCGCTGAGAATTCTGTAACCCGAATTACAAATTTATTTTTACGGCATCGTTCGGAGTTGAAAAGCGGGATAAAGAAAAGAGTATCTTACGTCGATGCATTTTTTCGTGCGCTCTTTTTCCTTCTTTCACCGAATTTTCCAATGATCCGCTTACCCGATTTTAAGAAATACCGTCTAGCAAAAGTTTTGTCCTTTCGCCTCCCAGGAACGGTGAGCTCGGGTAATCCACTCTTTCGATCAGCAATTTTTATACTTCAAATAGATATCGGTTCCACCGAGCCGCATAATAGAAGGTTGAGAAACATTTCAATATCTTTAAGTAAAATATCCCCTTTATCTACGAGTCTGGAAACTCGTGCTCGCAACGTGTTTAAACGCAGACGAATTTATATATAGCGACACATACGTATCGATATTGGTTCCCTAAGATCTAGGTCTTCGGGAAGGTCGATGGAGCTTTTTCTCTCGAGGCGTTAAGCAAATTCAATCTCGCGTCGAAGTAGCAACGACAGGTATCGTAATAATAGCTTTCACGTTTCAACAAGCTGCACGGCTGTCCTGCCCTTACGCTCTTATCATTAATCCGCGCTATTATAGTACCTGGATTCTTAACGAGACACAACAGCTGCCTATCGCCGTGACCCGTGACGTCACGTCGAGGCCAATCGATCGCTTTGAGATCATCTCGAATCCCTTTTCCAGTTCTAGTGTATTCAAGAGGTATGGGGCAATACTTATCAAGCGGCATAACGCGGAGACCCGACGAGCTGGCTTCTAATCCGGGCATACAGCGAAAATTACATCCTCGGAGACCAAGCGACATTCACCGGAGCTGCGAGAGAGCATTAGTAAGCCTTTTCCGGCTCTGATTTTTCCTCGTCTCGCCTTCCTTCCTTTTCCCTCTTTTCTCCCTCTATTTCCCCCCCCCCTTCTTTTTTTATTAAGCCCTCCACTTCCACCCTTTATGCAGTCACTGGCATAGCGGGAAACGCGGTGTGGTAGAAATGGGATTCGTTTAAACTTTAATTTCCCGGCACACGAGCATGCGTTTCAATAAATCACGATAAACGAGCGACCGACGATGATAATATCGCTGTCAAATCGCTTCGGCTGTTTCCGAATGCACGGTCGGGAAGAACTAAAGTTCCGCGACATCGGTAAATATTTATAATTTAAATATTTGAAAGAGAGCGAAGCACAAGAGGGGTGGCAATGGGGAAATCGAGCGCGGGAGGGGCGAGAAGCGCGGGTAATCCAGCAAGTGGATTTCAATGATTTGCAGAGAAGAAGTTTCGCGCGAAACACGGGTAGCTATGGCTGCTTGAAATATTTACCTGGCCGCGAGAGATGGAATATAAATACGATTTGCATTCTCCCCCCCCCCCCCCCCCCC